TCTATCTGTCCACCCAGGTGCCCACATTTCTGTCGCCTCCTTTGTTTCAGGGGTGACAGCAGCTGGAGGCCTCTGAAACAAGGGAGAAGGGGACCTGGGGAGCCCATGGACAAACGGATGGATGGATGAAGGACAGAAGGATGCTTCAAGAGAAGACCCTTTAGGGGGCAGTGACTGCTAATCTCCACCCTCCTTGACTAGTGAACCCTAGACAGGATGGAGGAAACCCGAGTCATTATGTGAAACCCCAGAGCTTGCTCTTGGGGCTCTTGGCCAGGGGACAGCACCCTGACCAGAGCAAGAGCAAGAAGGACTTCCTGGTGGGAGACTATGGAGAGCCCTATTAAGACCTCAATGTTCAATGTGTGAGCATGCTCACACCGGGGCACCTGGCACCATCTACACTGCCTCAGGACCCTGTTTCCCTACAAGTGATTCTCCCAAGGTCTGCCCTGGTTCTCTCTCCGAGAGTCAAGGACCATCACCAATTGTGACATTGTAATTGACATTAAAGAGTGTGACTTTGCACCTCAAATCTGCGACTGCATGATATTCTTAGGACAAGTCTGAAAGAAGCCTGTGAGTTTTATTTTTTTTTAGACAGAGTCTTGCTGTACATTCCAGGCTGGCCTCCAGCTCTCCATCCTCCTGCCTTAGCCTCCTGATTGTTGGAATTGCAAATATACCCTACAACCCTGGAGTACTTAGGTACTAAAGAGAGGCGAGTTGAATACAATGCCTATAGTACTGGGGTTATAGGATGGAGGAACTGGCCAGGGATCCTGAGGTCCCAGTGGTCCCTAGATGTCTTTATTTAGATTGATTTTGAGACAGAATTGTCAACCTTTAAAAAAAAATCAACGTTCATGCTGGGCCATGGTGGTGTATGCTTTTAATCCCAGCACTTGGGAGGTAGAAGCAGGCGGATCTCTAAATTTGAGGCCAGCCTGGTCTACAAAGCAAATTCCAGGCCAATCAGGACTATACAGAGAGACCCTGTCTCAATAAATAAATAAACAAAAATTAAAAATTAGCTTCCACAGAAGGGCCAGGCTTTTGTCAGAAACAGGATGCTCTGGCTGTGATGGCCTACATCTCATTGTGCTCATGAGAAAGATCTGAACAGCGGCTGTCACCTGCAGGCAGGTGGCTTTTGTCCCTTCATTTATATCCACCATCTGAGTTTCCAGTGAGAAAGGGCAGTCTTGCAGAGAAAATAAAGTGGGAAATGCCTGGAGGTGAGGGCAAGGGGCTGGAGAACTCTGGACACATCAGCTGGCCGGGATCCCAAGCCCTTGAGGATGAAGTCAAAACTAGAAGTTTAACATTCTAGACACTGGGGAGCCACTGAGGGTGATTGAGAGGGGACTAACTTCACAAAGATTACTCTGGGGGCTGAACAAGTACTACAGGCAGGAGATATGCTCAAGGCAGGACCATATCCCACATGACCAGGCTCAATTGTGAAGAATGTCCCACCTCCAGACCTCATAGTTGGGGTATGGGCATCCGGGAATCTGCATTTTCAAGAGGCTCCTGCCTCCCCATGTGATTTTGGTGATGACAATGCCTGGGACCATACCTTCAGAGATGTGTGTGGTGAGGGAGGGCCTGTGCTTCAGAACGGAGTAGGTGGGAAGAGATATAGCCTGGACTAGAGGAAAAGGGCCTCATGAGCTACTCCTGCTAGAGAAGATAGGTTGAAGCACAGGCCTGGGCTTTCAAGAGACCTGAGGCCAGAATGTTTGGCCTGGTGAGAACCTATGTGCCCAGACTTCCTGGAAGCAGGAGCTCCTATCTCAGTGGAAAAACTGTCTGCCACTGACTGGGGTCAGAATCTCATGCAGTGGCCCTGGGGACAGACAGATGGCTGACGAGAGTAGCATGTCCATGAAAGACTCCAGGGGTGAAAGTTAAACATGGGCTGAGCCAGTATTGGGCTCCTGGGTGGGCTGTGGAGAACAAGAAGTAAACTACTTCTTGACATAGAGAGGACCCAGAGGACCGCAGGCAGCCACTTTTCCTAGAGGCCAGCAGGACACCCCACCCCCCACCACCCCCCGCCCCGGCTGGCTACACCTCATCCTTGCCAGAGTTGTGGTCTATTTGGCTGTAAGCAGGCACATTCTAAGGCGCCTTGTAGCCCTGCTGCAGAGATGAAGAGAGGAGATGCTCCCGAAGGGCCAACAACCTCAGAGCATCTAAAAAGAGTTCACGGGAAAGGAAGCAAGGATGGTAACGTGGGGGACAGCAGTTCCCGGTGGGGCACCCTGTCCTGGGGAGGTGCTCACAGGCGTGTTTATTGCCTGGGATGCAGTGGCACCCTCTCAAAAGGTTGAGGCCAGCCTGGGCTGCATAGCAAGACCCCATGTCCCGAAACCAAGAGAGTCAACCATTACTAGTTCGTGCTTGACTTGAGGGCCACCAAGACCCCTGGAACTTTTGAGAAACAGCTGGGGTACAGGAAGTTTCCCCTTTCCTCCTTGATTAGGGCGAGCTGGGTTTCCCGTGAGATGTCCTGAGCCCACTTCCTTGTTTTTTGAAATGGAGTCTCCTGTGAAGCCCAGGGTGGCCTAGAACTCACCACATCTCAGTCCTCCCTATAGAAATCCCCTTGCTTCTGCCTCTCAAGTGCTGGGATTACTGGTGTGAACCACCACACCCAGCTGTCTGAACCTACTGTCTAGCAGGCTCACATCATTTTCTAGTCAGGGGTCAGATACATGGAGAAATGTTAAAACTTACAGGCATCTGAAATTGTTTTCCATGTCCCCATGACAAAGTCATGTTGTCTCAGACAGTGGAGATCTCAGCCTAGAGGGAGAGATAAAGCTCCCAGAAGCAGGTGCTGAGCTCATAGACATGAGACAAGAGACAGCACCCAGAAAATAGGCAAGGAGCAGGCTTTGTTTGCACTCCTTGGGTCAATCCACTATACTCTGCCTCTGGAGGTGGTGAAGTGTCTAGTCTGGGTCCTCTGACATCAGCTGTGATGCTGTGAATAGAATATTCTTTGTGCTCTGGCCAAACCACTAAGAAGGAAAGCCCTGATAGGAAGCAAGCTTCGTCAGCTGTAACCTGAGCTCTTTCCCAAGAGGGGAAAGGTAGAGAGTCATGGGAAGGAGGCTGAATGAGTGATTGTGTTGTTTGAGGCTGTCCCTGGGGCATTGAGCTGGCTGCTATGATCCTGTTGGTAACCCAGCCAGCTAGGAGCCAAGGCCCTGGGGTAAGGCCCCCAGGATGGACCCCCAGGACTGAGGGGGCACAAACTACCCTCCTTACCCCACAAATGGCTCCTCTTTATCCTCTGTAGTCAGCATCCTCCCCGTGGACCAGGTGGAACATGATCTTGTCCTCGAGGAGGTGGACCCCTGCTGGGAGGACATCCAGCAGGAAGAGAGTGCCAGGCAGCAGGAAGACCATGCCAGCCAGTGGGAAGACCATGCCAACCAGCAGGAGATAGAGATGACTCCAGTTTATGAAGAGGAAAGCGAGGCCATGGTGGAGATGCCCAGGTGGGAAAACAGAGAAGTCCTGGAAAAGGAGTCAGTGCTTGAGAAGGTACCAGGCGTACAGTGTGGAATCCTAAAGTCATAAAAGGGCCCAGTAGAGGACCACACCTGCCCCTCCGCTCTCAGCATCTGCCCGCAGCCCCTGGGCACATGGCTACCAGACCCCATGTCAGAGGTAGGCTGGGGACAGACACACACGGAACCCCCGTTCTAGTTTGGTTCTGTTACTGTGATGAAGCACGCTGCTCAAAAGCAGGATAGGTGAGGAGAGGGTTTATTTCTGCTCATCCTTCCAGGCCATGGTCCACCATTGAGGGGAGTCAGGCAGGAACCTGAAGCAGAAACCGTGGAGGAATGCTGTTTGCTGGCTTGCTCTCTAGGCGTATTTTTAGCTAGCTTTTTACATAGCCCAGGGCCACTTGCCCAGGGAATGGTACTACCCACAGTGGGCTGAGCCTGATCATAAATTAATGATCAAGACAATCTCCCACAGACATACCCAAAGACCACTCTGACCTAGGCGGTTCTTCAGTTGAGTTCTTCAATTCAGTCACCCTTTCAGATGACTCTAGGCTGTGTTAAGTTGACAATTATGGCTAATCAGGACAATTCATTTCTATTTTTTTGTTGTTGTTTGTTTTTGTGTTTTGTTTTGTTTGTTTGGGGTTTTTTTTTTTTTGCACAAAATATGGCATATCATGTGTATTTATCTGCCCCTTGTTATAGTTGGTCATAATTCACTAGGTAGAAATCATCCTCATTGTTTTCATATTGTATAGTATTCCATTATATGGCTAGACCATAGTTTGTTATTTTGTTTGTTTGTTTTTAGACAAGGTCTCACTATGTAGTCTTTGCTGACCTGGCGCTCACTATGCAGAACAGACTGGCCTTAAACCCACAGAGATCTGTCGGCCTCTGCCTCCCAAGTGCTAGGATTAAAGATGTGTGCCACTGAGGCCAGCTTTAACATGCTTTCCACTGTTTACCACTCTAGTTGGAGGCATGAACCTAGGAGAGTGGAGCCTAAAAATGAGGCAGACTAAAGTCTCATGCAATAGCCAACTTTATTCAGAGCATCAGACAATTTATACTCCAGAGTTAAGAAGAATCACATGGGGCTGGAGAGATGGCTCAGCCGTTAAAGGCTAGGCTCACAACCAAAAATATAAGAATCACATGAGTAAAGTGTACAATCACAAGGGTAAGCTGCGCGTGGCAAAAATATGTTTTCCCATAGAGGCTTATAAACAAATAACAATATCCAGTCATAATGAATAATCTGAAGTACACTCATTCTCTCCACTACATCTGGGAGGGGCACAAAAGCACATTTCCAGAACAATTCTGTGTTTGTGAAGAAACTGAGATCACAAGACTCTTGTCTTGTTTTCTTGGGGTTTTCTCACAAGTACCCAGAATTCCCCTTGCACGACTCCATTCTTGGACTGTGTTCCGACACTCCTCTGGTGACATTTAGGTTGTGGGTTAGTCATCTTTCTGTTGTAATCAGATATTCAAGGTCACCAATTTATAAAGAAAGGTTTGTTTTAGTTCAAAGCTTCGGAAGAACTTTTTCAGTCCATGGGCAGTGGCCCTATGACTTGGGCCCATGTCGAGGCCTGGTGGGGAAGAGCAAAATGATGGCTTTCATGTCAGGGAAGCATTTGTAAAAGAAGGGGCTGTTACGATGAGCAATCAAGCTCCCGACCTGCATTGCTAGGAAATACATAAGGAGAAAATGAGGCTCACTGACGCTCAGAGCCGTCAAGTCACCATCAGGACAGTGCAGACAGTTGTGACTGCTGAGGGGCTCTTAGGTGGGGCTGCTGCAAGTCCCAAGACACACGTCAGAGATGGGGGAGGAGGGCCGGAGCAGCCCTGGAGGGCTCACCTTTGCCTCTGCCCTGACTTAGGGAGTTGCCCCAGATTCAAGAAGAAGGAGAAGACGAGGAGGAGGAAGAGGAGGAAGAGGAGGAAGAGGAGCCTGTGTAAGTCACTTGTCCCGGGCAGTAGGATTAGGGGATCCTGGGGTGGGTGTTTTCTGCCTTAGTTCTGTGCTGAACAGTGTTGGGCATTGACCAGAAGACTGGGAAAGCTGGGGTCCCCACTGTGCTCAAAATGAGCCCTCAGTCCGACATCCCCCCTCCAACTCACACAGGTGTACCCCTGTGAAATCTGAGACTTGAGGGAGTTGTTTTCACTACCGTATCTCAGATGCTCAGTATACAGTAGGCATTAAATAAATGTAAAATTAATGCATGCATAGATGCATGAGTGAACACATGCATTGAGCTCACAGTACTTCTCTCTCTCTCTCTCTCT